CGGCAGCCCCGCGCTGGGCCGCGTAAAGTGCATGGTTTGCTTTATTTTTTTCTTTCATTAAAAAAATAAGAGGAATAAAACTTTCTTCTTTCGTCAAGGTACTTCGGGGTGAACGTTTTGGTCTCTCAGCAGATATTGCGGAAGCCAGTCCCAGCCCTGTGGCGCCCAGGCTTGGCGTCTCTCTCTGCCTCTAGCTTTCGGAGGAGGATGCGACTCTTCCGCCTGCTGCCTTGCCCCCAGCGCCACTGTTTTCCCACTTCACGGTACGACGACACGCGGGCAGGTGCCCAGCGGCCTTGTTTGCACTCTGTGCCACAACTCTGCACTTATCCTGCCCCAACAATAGATGAACCGGGGCACGGGAGATGGCTCGCTGCCAGGTCCCAGCTCTCGGAGCCGCCCGTGCTGCTTTCATCTCACGTGCCTTTGCCTGCGCAACCTCCTCGGCTACTGTTTGTGAGAGTTAAGGCGATAAAGCAGCACTTCCACAGTGTCGGGAGCGCAGGCGCATCCCCCTTTGCCATCTCATCGCCAGGCAGGACGGCTCTGGCCCTGTTTTGGTGGCCTCGCTCCGATGCAATGGGAGTTTGTCTCCCCATCGCTGCTCTCTTATGCTGCTGTGAGGCCAGAAAATCACAGCGGGCTCTCCCCCGCCTTTAACACGTGCTTCTAAGGCCTCAAAGCTGCAGGCCCATCACTGCCACAGCATCGACGCCATGCTGGGCAGCTAGACACCACCGACACAGGCCCAAGCGTCTGGGCACGTGAGCCTGGGATTTCCTCCACCTATCCACAAAGGTAGCTCGGCAGCGGGAGCAGACACGAACCACAGCACTAATGAGGCAAAGAGAAGCCATCCTAGGGGCTCTGAGATTTCATGTACTACAAGCCTGATGGTCACCAGCACTGTGCCTAGAAGCCAACACGCATGTCACCCTCCTCACTAGTAATTTCCTTTCCTGGCTCAGCTCAAAAGTGCGCTAGATCCAAGATTTCCTAGGGCTCTCGCTCCCTCCTGTTTAAGTAGCTGCCAAACAAGCCTCGTGGTCCCGAGCGCGTGGCTCTGCCACGCACAAGGCCGGATGCTTTCCGACATGTGCCCTTCCAAACACCGTTCTCACCACCGCCAGCAGATCCAAAGCAGAACGGGACGTCGCGGGGGCTTTCTACGTACAACTAGAGGACCTGGTATCAGGCAGGCCCGGCATGCGCTGCGAAGGGGTGCGGGGAAGGGCAGGGGAGCTTACATGGACGCACGAAACACTAGCTCTCTGCTTGGCACACACACCGCACCGCCTGACGGTGGCTTGACGTTCCTCTACCGAGTTATCTGAGCATCCGGCTCCGGGAGGAAGAAGAGGGAGACCGCTCACACCAGTTTTTAACAGCAGAGCCTCAACCTACAAGGAATATCTCTCCGAGCATCCTTCAACAAGGCCTGTCCTTCCAAGGAGACACCAGGGGTGAGCCTGCAGCTCTAAGGCTTGTTTTTTGCCACGAGACCTCTCGTAGCCACGACGCATGCAAAGATGCGCCGATCCGGTTCAAAACCCCCGCTTGCACGAGTGTCCCCCTTCCTGCCACGGGCTCCCTCGAACCACCTGACTGGCCGCGGCAGAGAGACGGGCTGCTTTTCTGACGAGAAACCTCTCGACAACGTCTCCCAGCTCTGCGGCGAGAGTCAAGGCGGTGCTCCTTCATCGAATATCTGCTGAGAGATTACTTGTGCATCAGCTAAAGTACCGTCATCACTCGCTCACGGTTCTTTTTCTTTTTTTTTTTTCTTTTTTTTTTTTTAAAAGAGAGGCCAACGCGTGGATCACGCGCTGGCGGGTTTTTTTCGCCAACAAGAGAAACCGCCACTCTCTCGAGAGCAAAGTTGCTCGTGATTTAGTCACTTCTGAATCGCTTAGGGTGCAGGCACTGCCCTGCACTCTCGCTTAGGGAAAGGTCACATCTTAGCAAGTCATCCTCTGCTATCGCCACAGCCGAAGTGTGCAGTCAGCGATGGACCACTCAATATGAGGGGATTATTGTAACCAACCTCTTGTGCCCGTTACCCTGAACGACTGAAAATGAGACAGGATAATTGTTTTTTCTTCTTCTTTTGGGGGCGGGGGAGCAGGGGAATTGAAGCAATTTTGACTCTGACTTTAAAGGAGCTGCGGGTGGTGGCAGAGCAATCCCCGCTACATGACTGGGCAGCCCCCGCAGGGATCTCTCCGCAGCCCGCAGCTCTGGGAGCGGACAGCCACCTCCGGCTCCGACAAGGGCCCATCTCTGGGCTTTTCAGCCCAGACGTCTCGGGTATTTACATTAGGTTTTGGGGTGCTATACAAGATTTACATTTCCTTTTGTACAGCAGATACTTTGATAGAGTTGTGCTCTCACACTGTCCTTTCTGGGGCAACAGAAATCTGGAAGCTCCAAGAATTTGGGATTTCCCCCTTCCGAAAAAAGAATTTTGCCCGTTTTCTACGGAATCCAAACCAAAAAATCTATTATATATATACACACACACATATATATATGTGTATATACATATATATATATATAT